GTTTAATATAATCCAGAGGTAAACTCAAAAGGCATATGGTGACTGAAAAATAACCTACTTGTGGGATTCCTGTTTTTATTTGAGAACTATGTTAAGTACATCCTAACTAATCTCAGTTACTACCTGGAGACCTAAGAGAGTCACAAATATAAAACATAACTCATCTCAAATCAATCAGTGACTCGCAATTAAAAGTGGTATTGATGAAACAAGAATGTGTTAGGAGACAATTCGCCGTGCTTCTCTCATGTCTCTGCATCTTTGTGCAATTGAGCATTGACTGCCTTTGTTCCAGATGATCTTTCATGGATATCTGTATAGAAGCCTTGGAAGACAGTCTCTCTCCAGAGCAAAAGACAGGCATGTGGAGCAATAAGTACAAAACAAAGGTTCAGAGTCCTTATGGTCAGGTTCTTATCCCGGTACATAAACCCCTGGGAGCACAGGTATCACCTAGTAAGGCTCAGGCAACAGTGCAGAAAATGCCGCTACTCTGGCTACTGCTATTACTGTGAGTACTGAAGTCCTTTGTCTCTGACCCAGAATTCTTGTATCTTCCACCAACATCTACAGGCTAATTTGGTAGTTTTCAAATAGGGTAAAATCTTGTATCTTTCAAAGTTATTGACAGAATGCTACAAACTTTTTAAAAAATCAGTTTTAGAGGGGCCGGCCCGTGGCTCACTCGGGAGAGTGCGGTGCTGATAAAAAATCAGTTTTAGGTAACCTTTTCCTAGAATGTTGCAATGCCACCATGTGTTAAAATAGCATATTGCTATTTAAGACATACAAACATGGTTTCATTCAACTGGCTTCTATTTAAAATTATAATCATTGAAAATGCAAAAAAAAAAAAACTTTTGGAAACACAATGTTAAGTATAGATTGGAATGAATATGTAAATACACAAACATGTATTTTTAAGGTCCCCAGGGTATCCAAAAGCTTTTTCATTTTCCTTTTAACCCTTTTGCTTGCTTTTCTCTCCAAGCCACTCTGATAAAAGCTATACAGTTAACTCATTGCCTACTCATTTTAAAGATCATCCTTGGCATAAGCCTAATCTTAAAATATTTTTCCTGCCATTAAGCACATTTGGAAATCAGTAGGAATAAAATTGTAGAGTGACAACTAATTTTCACATTAGACAATGTAAAATATAGTTGACTAGAAAAATGTATAGATGAGTCAACCTTACTAAAAAGTCTGTTTTTATCACTGTTTTACATTTTTTGTGCCACTGTTACCACTCACAAGGACTGTTAATAAAGAATTCTCAATAATTAAATTTTATTTATATGTACAGTGTTAAACATTTTGTATTCTAAACAATTCTTGAACAAAGAATATGCAAGTGAGTTACCTGGAGCAAAGTTTGTTGTCCCAAAGAACTTAATGGTACCAATTCTCTGGCCTACAACCAACACTCTCTCTCCAAGGTGGAGTTCTCCTTCACAACGGGGATTATTTGCTACAGATGTTGATGAGGAATTCAAACCTGCTTAAGTGGTTGGTGGGGGAAAGAGGTAGGGCAAGAAAAGAGGAGAGAAAACAAAGTAGAAAAAAAACTCAAAAAGCACATTAACCAAAAAATTACTATGTATTCTAACTATCTAGTTAGAGATTTTGATATTTGATGTTTTTCATTACATACATCATCTACAGTTGTATTTCTC